TGCAGGGAAGGATAAAACACAAGTATTTCTCTTGCATATAATTAGGCAAAACTGTCAAAAGCCTACACAGTATCAGTGTAATTTCTGGCTTTTAAACTTCACCCAAGTGGAATAGTACTTCCAAAAGTGTGAATGGTGACTTCATTCTGGAAAAAGAGGGACTTTGAAGCCTTGATATCCACTACTGCCTGTGGCATAATGGGTGATACTCTCCTCTTTTCTCTTTGTTGTTGTTGTGCATTCGGTGTATTTTTGCTGGCTGTACCTCATTGTGCTTATAAAGGGTTCCTTGCTTTCTTTGGCATCTCATGGGGTTCAGTTCTTCTGTTTCGATTATAAGCTCTTTGGGAATGGAACATGTCACTTATAAAGATTAGGGGGCATTAAAGCTGTTGATAGCTATCCTAAAACATAATCTCTTTTACTTTGCGTTGAATTCATGATCATTATGCCTTTGATAGCTTTCTATCTTTTAAAGAGGGAATGAACATTTAATCTAAATTTCAGTTCAACTGCGCTTGATTTTAAAAAGCAAACTTCTGTTTAAAAAGGGCTTTTAGAATTTTCTGTAGCATTGTCCCAGGTTTTGGCTATTGCTTACTTTTTGTATGTGATTTCAATTCAGGAAGTGTGAGTTATATTGAGAAGAGACCTTATTAAAATATCTGTTTTCAGAGTGGGAAAAGATAAAGGCATGCAGTTTTTCTGCTATCTTCTGCTTGGTTTTAAAGATGTTTTAAAGAAACCCTAACCACATACATTTTTTTTTTTTTAATTAAACTTTTGTTTCTGAGTAAAACTGAATGTCGGGATGATCAAAGTTTTGTAAAGCAGCCTGCTGTTTTTCATAATTCCAGGCATTTTCATGTTAGAAAATTGCAGTGCTCTTACTAGAGGTGTTTGTATAAAATAAATCAGTTAAATCCATGCAGAAAGCTATTTTGGTACTTCTGTTTTGGTTTAAACCAGGCATGTTTCAGTTTATCTTAAGTTGGTTAGGAATTTACTTAAACTAAAACAGAATAAACCACAATAAGTATTCACACAGATTTAAATAAATTGGTTTTAAATTAGATTATATTATATTGGTGTACCTTTCTGTGGGTTTGGTTGTGTTTACCCAGCACAAGAGTACGAAGGATACAATCATGCTTATGCAAATTGGTTTTGCCCCTCTCACTTCTTACACACTTTGTCACCCTGTGGTTGGCCAAACTTAAGGTGTTTTGCGTGCTTGTTAACCCATTTTAAAGATGTATGCAAGCTTTTGGACATACTGTTAAGTGCAGTAAAACATAAAATTACTTTGGTCCTACCTAAATATGGGCTGTTACTCAACTTCTAACTGTATGACCTCAATCCAAGATTTTTTTTTTTTTTTTTTGCCCTAAGCAACATGGGGAGGTGGAAAAGTCTCATTTTGGATTCTAGCACTGGCCCTAGGGGAGACAACCTCTCAGCTCTGGCTTTGGCCCTGAGCTTAGGGCTGAAGCTATAGCCGGGCCACTGCCTACCCCTGACTGGAATGGCTTTTGCGACATGGGAGGGGGCACATTAGCCAGGGAGAGCGCGGGAGAAACTGTAGGGTAGGTTGAGGAAGGGAACCTTCTGTCTATTCCACCCACTGCTCTCCTCCCCCAGTTCCCCACCCCTCTTACTTTCTGGTCCCTCCAGCCATAACTTGGCATGGTCAGGAGGTGCTGCTGTTTCTCCTTGGCTGGTCTGAGCTGGTCTGGACTGGGACCAGGCCTGAGCTGTGGCTGCTGCTGACTACTTCAAGCCAGAACAATTGCAAGAGAAGGTGAGAGAGGACTGGGCAGTCACGGAGGACAGGCAGCAGGGATCAGACACTGGCACAGGGGGCCAAGCTGTGGGGGGAATAGGGAGTGGAGTGGAGGCACAGGCATGAGGGACAAGGGTGCAGGCTGCAGGGGTGGGCAGGGAGTAAGGGGGCAAGAGGCAGGCAGCAGGGGGACACATGGCATTGATCAGGCAACAGGGAGGCAGACACAATGGGGATGGATAAAGGCATGGGATAAAGACAAGGGTTGGCAGGGGCAAGCAGGGAGGGCAAGGCGTGAGAGGTGGGCCCCTCTCCCCTTGCTGCTGCTTTCCCTGCCACAGCAGTGTGTGTGTGGGGGGCGGGGGGGGGGGATAAATTTAAGACAACCTTCCACTAATTCGATTCTGTACATGGAAAATTATAACAAATGTATAGATGTCCATGTATAGAATCTTTATTGTGTGGGGGTAATCTTAAATTTGAAGTAATCTTGGATTCAGGTAAATATGCTAGATGGAATAAAAATGGATTAGAATAGTTTTCATATGGCACCATTTTTATTTGCTTTATTTCCTTACAGTCATGTATTAACTTTTCTTGAGAGCTCAGTTCTACTGTGATTGTTATTTTCTTGTTTCATGGATTTTCCAATATATAGCAATACTCTGTAGGGCACTAGGTGGCACACTATGGCTTTGAAACAAGCTGGTTGAGATCTTCTGGATGACAGCAGCCTAAGTTAAAAATGACTTGTATAAGCATTCAAAATAATATGCAGCTTTTCACATACATTTATTGCATTTTGTATCACCATGATAAATTATGATTCCTCATCTATAGCACTTGTTTTTACAGGACTTGGTTATTAAAGATGACTTTTCACAAAATGAAATGGTTGAAAGATTGGGGCCTATAGTTAGAAGTACCCTGGTGCAGAGAACTTATGTATTCTGTACAGCACAAATCATTCCATTAGCACTTGAAATTTATATTATGTGCATTAAGTTTTCTGTATTTCAATCTCCCAACATCTAAGGATCCAGTATGTTGACCTCTGATGCCATAACTTAAGGTTTGTCTTGTTTAGGGTCCTCTGGAGTGTCTGGGTATAGCCTGTAGGGAGGCAGGAATTTGTTTAGTTGACATTTGTTACTTTATATGAATGTCTGTTTGTTGTACTTGTGCTCTGAGTTCTTGATACAGACTATCCAAATGCTTTTTTGCATAAATGAAGATCATTCTTAATGAACTGTCTTATCCTTCTGTTTCATACTGCAGCTCCTTTGTCATCATCCTGATTTCCTATGCAGCATTTTATATTTATGTTATTCATAGATTCATAGATGTTAGGGTTGGAAGGGACCTCAATAGATCATCAAGTCCGACCCCCTGCATAAGCAGGAAAGAGTCTGCTCTCTGCTAGCTTATGGCCATTATTTCTTGTAACCCCCAGGGGCACCTTGGTGAGTAGAGCCTCACCAATTCCCTTCTTTGCCCCCATGATGAATTTATAGGCAGCCACAAGGTCGCCTCTCAACCTTCTCTTGCGGAGGCTGAAGAGGTTCAGGTGCCCTGGTCTCTCCTCGTAGGGCTTGGCCTGCAAGCCCTTAACCATAAAAGTGGCCTTTCTCTGGACCCTCTCCAGGTTATCCACATCCCTCTTGAAGTGTGGCGCTCAAAACTGGATGCAGTATTCCAACTGCGGTCTGACCAGTGCCCGATAGAGGGGAAGTATCACGTCCTTGTTTCTGTTTGTCATGCGTCTGCTGATGCACGATAAAGTGCAGTTAGTTTTGCTGATGACTTCGTCGCACTGACGACTCATGTTCATCCTGGAGTCCGCTAGGACTCCGAGATCCCTTTCTACTTCCTTGCCACCCAGCAGGTCATTCCCTAGGCTGTAGGTGTGCTGGACATTTTTCCTCCGTAGGTGCAGCACTTTGCATTTCTCCTTGTTAAATTGCATTCTTTTGTTTTCTGCCCATTTGTCCAACCTGTCCAGGTCTGCTTATAGTTGTTCTCTGCCCTCTAGTGTGTCCACTTCTCCCCACAGTTTTGTATTATCCGCAAACTTGGACAGAGTATGCTTCACTCCCTTGTCCAAGTCACTGATGAAGACATTGAAGAGTATTGGTCCGAGGACCGAGCCCTGCTGGACCCCACTGCCCACGTCCTTCCAGGTCGATACCAACCCATCCACCACCACTCTCTGGGTACTACCCTCTAGCCAGTTTGCCACCCACTGGACTGTGTAATCATCCAAGTCACAGCCTCTTAATTTGCTCACCAGTATGGGGTGGGATACCATATTGGAGACCTTCCTGAAGTTTTAAGTAAATGATATCTACCCCTACTCTTGTGTCCAGGTGGTTTGTAACCCGGTCATAAAAAGAGACTAGATTAGTCAGGCATGATCTACCTGCTGCGAACCCATGCTGGTTTCCGCTCAGCATAACATTTCCTGCTAGGCTCTCACATATATGAACCTTAATAATCTTTTCAAAGACTTTGCCAAGGATGGAGGTGAGACTGACTGGCCTGTAGTTGCTTGGATCCTCCTTCTTGAAAATAGGGACCACATTGGCCCTTTTCCAGTCTTCTGGGACCTGGCCCGTGCGCCACGTTGCTCAAATATTCTTGTCAGTGGCTGTGCAACGACATCAGCCTTATTGTAAGTTACCTTTTAGGGCTTTGTTTTAGTGGCACAAAGGTGCCTATTTTAACATACAAGGTGGTTTAGGTTAGGGCTGTCTGCTGGTGGTTTGCAGGCCACATTCAGCCCATGAGTGATTCATTTGCGCCCCCTGGGCTTCCACCCAGCCTCCATTCCCTGCCATTGCTTGGGCTGCAGCAGCAGCCAGGGTCTCTGGGCTGCACCTCCCTTCTCTGGCTTCCATTTCCTGCTGCTGCCTCAGGGGGCAGAGTGGTATGATGCAGCCTGCAGAGGTTCGTCTACACTAGGCTTTTATCTTAAGTTAATTTATTTCAGTTCGCTCAAGGTAATTAACACATTTGTAAAGATTGGTTTGAACACTTCCACCAGCATTGGCATTCAGTTCAATTGAGGTAAAGAAGACAAGTGTAGACAAACCAGTCTGGACAGTGATTTCTGCTTTGAACCAGTTTTCTAGGAAGCACTGTTATAGCCATGAAGCATGTCTCCGTATTGATTTGATGCAAAAAGATATATGTTTTCCTGTCTTTCATGTTTTCACAGGCTTCCTTCCAGCGTTCTAATAGTCATGACAAAGTAAGGAAAATAGTTGCAGAAGAAGGTCGGACAGCACGGAACCTAATTGCATGGAGTGTCCCTTTGGAGAACAAAGAGGATGATGGTAAGCATTCAGCTGTTCTCTTCCCTGTCTTCCCCCTTGGAAAAACAAAAATCTAACTTGTTAGTGTGGGCAGAGGCAATTAGCCATGTTAGTCTGAAGTGAACTGTTGCTTATAAAATTGTATGCATCCCTGATTCAGTTACTCTGTACAGTGCATCTCTAGTATGGGAACACCTTTGAAACAAAAATTTTCATATAGAAAACATATTAAAATTACCTTTAAGCTATTATTTATATTCATGTTTTAAAATAATTTCTTCCATATGGTCTCTGTGCAACTTAGATGATTTTGTAACAATGATCATTGAAAGATTAAATAAAAGTGAATTTTTGCATCTTGCTGTTTTGTCTACCAATAATTTTCATGCTGATTTCATTAGTACATCCTGCTGACTACTGTGCAGACACAGTCTTATTGTAACTTTTGTGTCTGTAGCAGCGGCCAGCTTAGACACACTACACTGCTCTGATTTGGTTGCTTCCTAACCTGGAAGCAGGCTATCTTTACACAGTGCTTAGGATGGGCTGATTAACACGGAGCGACAGTGCCAGACAGACTGTTCTGAAAGCCCGTTAGCCTGACCATGTAAGCCACACACGCATGGTTAAGCAGCTGCAGGTTTTGGGGCCGTAGTCCATGTACCCAGTAAGCCATTGAGATTCGATTGGGAACTCTGTCTTCTAGCCCACTGCTCCCCTGTCTGACATCTCACCCCACCTTAACGGTGGGCTGCTACTTAACATCCCTGGAAGCGGGGTTTGTCCTGTTGTAGGCTAGGTCTTCTGGGTCACTGGCTTCCTGTTGGGAGTGGGCTGGCAAGGACACTGAAGATGCAGGGGAGGACAAAGAAATACAGGCCCTTGTTGTTCAAGTCTGGTTCCAGTTCAGAGTCTGTATCCATTTGAGCTGTGTTTGTGCAGCTCGGCTGGATGGTCTGGGTTGCTGTGCTGGCCTGTGAGGGTGGTATGTCTTCACAGTCCTTGTTGCCGTCCTGGACAGTGGGGGTCACCGTGTCTAACATGACAATGTCATTGATCATGAAGGTGCAAAACTGTTCCTTCTAGTGGGTGCATGTGGCCTTGTATACATTTGACACACCGTTGCTGTTCTGTCCTTGCAAACTGCTGCCTCAGTACCTTGCACTTGGACTAGCACTGGGCCCAGGCATGGTCATATTTCTGGGCCCAGGTTGCCAAACCAAGAAATTATTTTTTACTGGCAGAGAAATTTTTTTTACTTGCATATGTTTTTACTATCAGTAAAAAAAAAAAAAAAAAAATTCTTTGGTTGTTAGCCCTGTGTGACTACAGCAGTGGTACCTTGCTGCCATTACTTTAGGGGTCTCACCCCACACCCTGAGATCCTTGACTACACCCTGCACCATGATGGCCCCTGCAGCCTGCTTCTTGATTCCCACAGGTCCTGCTCCCCCTGCACTAGCACAGACCCACTGCCTCTATCCTTCCCATTCCCAGCCAGCAGATCCATCTGGCTGCACTACCACCCTCCCCGTACCTTTGATGCAAATGGCTGTTAGAAGAAGAAGACTGGCATAGAGTCCTAGCAGCAGCACATGGCAAAAGATGGGGGAGGTGCCGTGCTGTCCAGACAGCAGGTAGTGCTGTTGTGCGCTGTCTTTCAATACTGTGCTAGCTTTTTTCCTGGGATGGAGCTTAAAGCTGTGGCAGCTCCATGTTTTTATGGATTTTTTACAGACAGGCATTTTTAGGGTGTTTTTTAATGGAGTGTCCATAGATTTATGGACAGTTGGCAGCCCTGCTCTGGGTCTCTGTTTCCTTCACAGTCCATTCATAGACCTTGTTTTAGTGGCTTGATTGGGGTGCCCTTTGGTTATTATTATTACCTCAAGATGGTGATGAGATCTGCTACCTCCTTCTTTTTTTGTCCAGTTTTTGCTGTACTTGTTCACGCTGCTCCCTTAGATTGAGGGGCCATGGTAGAAAGAGGATGAATAGTAGTGAGGGTGTATGGAAGCCTGATCTTGCCTTGGGTGGAGGATGGGTCTGATGACAGCCCTGACAGCTGAAAGGTTAGGTGGATGGAGGTCCTTGGTGCTGGTGGTATCTGTGGTTGGTTCAGGAGATGCACACTTTGATGCTGATCTTGATTGGGTAATGAGCACAAAATGGTTGGTAAGTTGTCGTGCAGTGCAGTTAACAGGTAGGGGTAGACACGTGGAGCCTGTCATCTCTGTGCAATATTGTTCTGTGATGAGGGCCACATAGAGTTAAGAGGGGCTGGAATTGGGGCCAAAGAAGTGTGGATGCCTGGAGAACCAACTGGAGATGATATCTCAGGACAGCTGTTTAGAAGTTCCTCATGATAGCATGGGACAGACTGCTAGAACAGGGGTGGACAATTATTTTGGGCAGAGGGCTGCTTACTGAGTTTTGGCAAGCCATTGAGGGCCGCATGACAGGCAGCCAGGGGCAGATGTATATTAATTTTCTAAACTTTTGGGGGGCTCTGCGGTCCGGATACAATGGCCTGGTGGGCTGCATCTGGCCCTGTGTTAGAACCTCTTATCCCGCGGTCCTGTTTGAGGGTTTTGTCCTGTGATAAATGACAAGGGTATAGGCCTGTGCTTTGCCTGAAGAGAGAACATTTTCTCATGGAACAATGGTGATATCTTTTCATAGCCTTAGAAGCTGGCACATAACTGTTTCCCAAGAACAAATGAACTTAATTGGGTCCATGTTTGTTGGTGCATATTTATTTAGGATTGTAACCATTTTCTAAAGAAGGCATGAAGGATGAAAACTAACATGAATCTTCAGCCTCTATTAGATACAGAAGTGCTTTTTAAATGGTATTTGTCGCAAATACTTTCGCAAACAGGATAAGTAAATGAAAAAGCCATAGCTCATCATTTTCTTGGTCTTGTGCTTCAGCCGGCTTGCTCTTAAAAGTTAACAGACTTTTCAAATTTAATTTCTTTACACAAACACGGGCCAAATTCTTACTTATTATCTGACTTCTTTGCACTACACTGAAAACAAATTATTTGGAATCTGGCCATAGTTGATCTGCAGAAAATTTACCTTGTAGAAGGGAACTTTTGGATGGTGTGAAGCTGGTAGAGACAGTTTCTGCACTCTTGACCTCTGCCTTGGCATAAGAATATGTATGCTGCTGGTCTTGCACTTGGATTTGGCCCTATTGGGACCATAGGGCCGAAACGTATGTTACAGCTGCTTCTGTGCCACTCATGCAGGTCCTGATTTAAGTCAGCCCACAGGATCAGGAAGTCTGAATCCTCAAGACTACCAAGATGAGCAGAGATCGTGCATTTTCCTCCTTCTGTTCCTGTATTTTAAATACTTTCTATAGGAGAGAATTGCCAGTTCTACTATTTCTTTTGCTCACAGCTTTTATCCAGAGGTATTGTGCTAGCATTACCAGCATGTAACTTATCTTAGCATGTTACAGAGTTCTGTTACTGTTCAGAAAGTATTCTCTGTATGAAGAGCAAAGGAGGGTTTGCCATGGAGAGTTTGTGAATGGAAACGCTGTATTAGACTGTGGCTATACAAGTTGTTGCCCAAGGCAGAATCTTGCAGATAACTCTTGAAGCAGCAAATGCAAATACGCTTTTTGTGTAGGAAAGAAACTGCCGTGCCATGAGAGGAAATGGAGTAAAATTTCCCAGGTTTGGTCAGATTTATCTTGGAACAAGGTGGGGTCATGTCTCTTTTTCCCACCCCTCATGGCAGCTGTTTTGGTTCCTCCCCCCACCGTATATCCTGTTCATATGTCCTTGACATTAGTTTCTTCAGTTCATAAATTCTTTCTGCCTCTACTTCCTTCAAAAAGTACATACTTACTCTGTTTTCCACCCCTCAATTTTTATTCTGGGATTCATGGCTATTTATACATAGTGGTATGAATGAAAGGACAAGTGTGAGAAGAACTGCAGCAGAAATATGACTCCTTGAGCAGAAGAAATAGGTAACATATGCGGATAATGAGATTTCAGAAAGTGGATAGAAACTACTGAAACCTCAACTTTTCTCTCATCTTTTGGAATAATGTACCTTGTCATCAAATTTATACTTTTAAAACTGTGGAATAGGCCAGTACATATCAAACAAAACTGAACAGTCACAAATCAATACTGGGATATTGGCCAGCAACAGCCAGTTTCAACTGGTGAAACAAAGAGGCTACTTAAACAAGATCTATTAATATGCAGCTGACTCTTCACTGTGAGGCAGAATAAGCAACAACACAATTGAATTAATATTTGAAAACAAGTCCTTTATACCCCAGAAGAAGGTTTTATTTTATTTTATTTTTTTTCGCAAATGAATCTTTATCACCGTTTACTCCAAGGATAATTCTGGGTTTGTCAAAACTAGGTGGAACAAAAAGGGTATCTAGACTTCTACTTTAAAATTGAGCTTGTGATTGTGTATGGGGGCTGCATAATCCTTATTTAGTTTAAAAAAATGTGACTTCTTCATACAGGAATTTAGTAGCTGTGTATTTTTTACTTACTTTGTGCCTACTATACAACTTAAGGCACATGGATGAGCAGTACACAAAAAATTATAGAATCGAATCTACTACAATCGACTAGTATTACTTAAATATTCCCCATAAGTGCTCCTTCCCTTTAAATTAAAATAATTTATACATACTTCTAATTTTAATAAATATGGGACATGACAAAACAATTGTGTAATCTTGTATTTGTAATGGTCCCTTTCCTGTATTCCCTTTTTGTTTGAAGTCTTTGAGGTTCCACATGTAGTCTGCCAGCAAAGTTCACTGAAGTTTTATGAGCTAGTGGTTTGCAACTTTTTTAGATTTGAGGCACCCTTTGGTGGGCTCAAGGTACCCCTTGATAGGCTCAAGCCACCCCGTGGAATGTGCCTGCTCTTAGTTTTCATTTGATTTTTGACTACAGAAAAATAATGGAGCAAATCTTTGGGGCAAAGAATTAAAAAAGCTGACCAAAGAATGTTTTTGACACTAAGGACTCTTATTTGAAATTTCTGGGTTTATCTTTTGAAGAATGTTTGCACACCTAATGGTGCTAACATTGACATACCAAATCACCCTTGACAGGATCTTATGGCACCCCAGGGTGCTGTGGCACCTGGTTGAGAATTACTGCTATAAGGTTTCAGGGCAGGGAATGTATTAGGCACACTTAGGCGCTTGAAAAAGAATCTTTTTGTTTAAGAAAAGTCTTGATAGAATGAACAGGCCTTGTAGCATGCGATGGAGATCAAGGAGCATATATCAGAGTCTAGCTGAGCTGTGAATGCAACAGGCCAAGTAAACATTAGGAAAAAGGAATTTTTTAATTCTTTCAAAGTCTTAAATTGTGAATTGCATTTAAATTAATTAGAAACTAGCGCTGTCTTTGGGTAAAAAGTTCTGCTAAATGACATGATAGTTTATAAATGTAAACAGTGTTGTAGAAATCCATCCTGGAGATGAAAAAAGCGAATATGAATTGATTATATACCTGAAACCACAGTAGTTTATCCAGTCTTTTAGTCTTGCAAGACCAAAAAAAAAGTCCCATCTACTATCACTATGAGCTTCCAAAGTAATCCAGCATCCAGTAAGATTGCAGAATTTAAAATAAGAGCACATTCCTTCAGTTAGGGTGTGAAGAAACAATCTTTCTCCTGGTTGCTTCCTACACAAACAGCATCACCTCTATCATACTGAAATGGGCTACAGCAGCCAACTTTTATTCCAGCCCTTTGTTAAAATGAACAACAGTTGGATTCGGTGAAAAAAATAGTACAGAAAGCTATCAGCATTAGGATAGCTCTGCAACTTCCACTTCTCAGTGTCTCCCAGAGAGCTTGCATTCAGAGAATGGGAGAGGTGCTAGAACATGACTAGCAGATGGTACTGCACAACAGCTGCATAGTAAAAATGGGCAATTTCCTAATACAGTACTACCTTTTGAAGCCCCTGGCAGATGATATATTTTTGGTGCATTATATGTGATTATCACATGACACATTGTAACATGCCAACTGGCTGCATGTTAAAATTTATTGCAGTATGCTTCATGCCATGAAGTTTCTGTAGCAACTTCTTGCAGCTGATCCACCATTTTTATCCAGGAATAAGTTGGTTTAACACCTGGCCTGTTACAATTTGTCATCTAATACTGTCACAAACCTACAAGGTTTTAAGAGAATGTAAACAGTTTGAGAAGAGATACCTTGGTGGTAGTGTGTTAGTTTTCCTTATCTTGGCATGTACTTGGTCTGCAGTTTGAGATTTTTGGTGAATGAATGTAGTGTATACTTGGGTCAGTTTCACTTTTATTTCTAAAACTGGCTTTAGTTATATAAAAGATCATAATTTACTTGTGTTTCTTGCTTTGGCTGGCCTAATATTTTTAAGAGGAACTATAAAACAAGTAATATAGATTTGTCTAAAAATTAAAGGCCTGATTCTGTTAAGATGCTGGAGTAGCCCAAAGCAGCTATAGCTGGGTGGTTAAGCCAAGTTTACAGCTGCCTTTCATAACTAGAGGAATACAGAACAGCTGGAACATATCAGCAAATTTTGCCCAAACGTTTTTCTAAAAAACTTAGTTTGACAATTCTGAAATCCAAGAATGATTTTCAGTCTGGTATTTCAGGGAGCTATATTAAGTTCATGTATTTGTTTGTTTGGTTTAATTTAATTAAATCATCTTGAACTTTTCCTCAGAAGTATACCTGTTGTCAGAAAGTACCGGCATGTTTACTATACCATTAGTATTTTGTCTTGCTTGCACACAAGACAGGATGTGGTAACTTTTACATTTTCTTCATTTATGGAAGGTTAAAATACCAGATCAATCAATCAGAGGAATAAATCAGGAAAAAAAGCTAAAATAAGAACAAGTTGTAATGTTAAATTATTTTTTTAGCTAAACCCTAGAGATCCCATTCTTCATAAAAACATTTCATGAAAGGAATATTCTTGTGTGCTAATTCTGAGATGACTCTGTTGGCTTAAGTACATCATGCTTTTATGAAGAAATAGGTTTGATATTTTTGGTTTATTTTTTAAAACTTTTGTGATTCTAGTACTTACTGCTAGCTAGGGATGTAAATATTGTTTAAAAAATTACCTTTTTTTAAAAACTTGTATCCAAGGCTAAATTAGCCAAAACTAATTCCAAATCCAAGAGTCCAGAACCATGAATCCCTCTACTGTTGGCAAACATCCTCCACCCACACCTGGAGCTTCAAATGTTTCCAAATCCTTTGGTGGGCATCCTACTTGCAGGCCCAAGCCCAGAGGCTTGTGGTTCAGATGACCCCAAGTTTTGCTTGCCATTAGCTGTAAGGCCCTTGAAGCAAGCAAGGGAGGAGACTCCCATTTCCATAAAGTGGGCTTAAAGCTGCTGCACCTTGGTGGGTACTGAACCACACCAGAAAAGCAGTTCTCCTTGGGGTGAGGTTCAGGAAAACTGCCTTTGTGGACGCAGATACAACCCATTTAACCAATCTAATTAGAGGAGGTTAAACGGTCCTGTAGCAGAGGGGTAAAGTGGTGTGGAGAGCTGGGGCCAAGGGTGATATGCAGGATTGTGGCAAGTCCTGTCACCAGCGAGGACTGGCTGGACTTCAGCTGTGTGGTCCCTTCTCTGAATGCAGCCAGCAGATGGGTCAGCACTGTACTTCTCTTGCTTGGCTGAGGGCTTGCCTCAGTGCCACAGCTCCTAGCAGTGAGTGCTCAGCACACAGGTGGATGCCTCTGTCCGCCACATACCTCTGGGTTTGGAGAGCTGCTGGAGCCCAGGGGGTGGGAGGGAGGCACCACCTGGGGGTTCTGGGCATTTGCAGGCTGGAGGCATTGCCTGGAGGCATTGCCTGGGCATGGCGCAGCATGGTTGTCCTGGCAGGCAAGAGCCCCTGTGGATGCTATGGGGGTGGGAGGGGGGTATCTGGCTCCATGAAGCCTGCCACTGCAGCACCCGATGGCAGCCCCACTGCTGTGCTCACTCCTATTTAAGTCTTGCCAGCTCTGCCATGCAACTGTGTCCAGCACCACTCCTCCAGGTAATGGCTAGTTACCTCCCTGTTGTAGCAGCTGCGTGATGCTGCAACCCAGATCCATGCTGCCTCCCAGGCAGCCCCTGTAGAAGCACTCCCCCTGACAGCGGGCAACACCAAGCTGAGAGGTAAACAGTAAACTTTAATGGTATAAATACAATTACTGTTTAACCTTTTACATCTGTACTGCTAACACATTCAGCTGAGACTGGCTGGAAAAGAAATTTCAGGAACAGTGGGTGTGTCTACACATGCACATTTACTGCGCAGTAATTAGAGGTGCACTGATATATCAGTTCATATCGTATCGTTGCCAATTAAAGGAAAATTGACATTGTTGGCAGTCTTCTTGTTTTGGCCAATGTAGCTGATAATGTCACCGATAAATGATACGTGCATGCATGTAGCTACAGCATGCACGCGGTTAGAAAAGCAGCCCGGCAGCTTGGAGAGCAATGTCTGGCTGGTAAGTCTGCGTGGGGGAAGGGGCGGGGAGGAGGGGGCAAATCGCACACCCACAATGAGGTAGGGAGTAGGGCTAGGGAAGGGGTGGGTGCTGCCCAGCCAGGGCAGGGTACAGGGCAGAGGCGTGGGTGGCTCATCCAGGGGATGGGGTGAGGCAGCTCCCGTTGCTGCGCACACCCATGGGAGTAATGGTGGGGGGCATATGCTTCCTGGACCTGTGTGTGGGGTGAGGGTGGGCTGTCCACTGCAGACTCAGGGCAGGGGGCTGCATTGGCGTTTTCCCAGTGGGGAGCTGGTCCAGGGCTGTGGAAAGGGCAGGTGGTGATGGGGCTAGGAGGTGGGGTGGGGGGGGCTATGGGGTGGGCTACAGTCACTCCAGAATTTTCCGTAGCCCCCCTGTAGCTCTCTGTCTCAGCGCTGCCTACTGTTCCACCCTTCCGCTGTCCACCCTAAGCACAAACGCTTCCTATTTGCAGCCACAGGAAATTAAAATGCTATAATTGAGTGGCAGAGCAAAATATGACTTTGCCCATATTATGTTATTTGCTCAATATTGTTGCATATGTGCCAGCCAAGTTTGGGAGTCCACTCCCATAAGACCACGGATGTTTTTCCTTTCTCCACATGTTGAAAGAAGGGTGTAAACCCACTATCTAGCTGTGTTTAAACAGTTCAGAAAAAAATAGCAGCTAAGCAATTACATTTGTTTTCCAAGAAAATATCCCTTATTTCAATTCCACAACAAATGTTGGAATTAAATAAGCAACAAATAAAACTTAACAACATTCAGATTTTTTCATGGTACGTTGATTTCTTTGAAAATATGATGTATTTTGGTTTTTGGTCATAACGACCTGATAATCAGAAAAACAGACCCCATTTGTAAGGAAAAAAAATTCTGTCTTGTGTTCATATTTGCCAACTTTTAAACTATTTCTTCCATCATTTCCTTCAGTTAGAACTGATGAAAAGGTAAAATTCAGTATATACAATTGGGGAAATGTTTCTTAGTTGTTTGAGTGATGTTTTAACCATGATGGTCCAGGAAATAAGCAAGAGCCAAGTATTTTTGTGGATGATATCTTTTTATTGGAGCAACTTCATGGTTGGGATAGATCGAAACAAGGTTTCAAATGCTGGGCATTCTTCTGCAGGTCACCCACAGAAATGCTTCTTAATTTGTAGTCAGTCCCATTATCTTTTATGCATTGTTAACAGCACACAGCAAGTTGTGGGGGGGTTAAATTTTAGAATATATATCTATTTCAAATAGATAATTAGACAATGAAGATCCTGCCTTGAGCAGGAGATTGGACTGGATGACCTTCTGAGGTCCTTTCCAGGCCTATTTTTTTCCTACAATTCTGTGATTGCTGATAAAATTTATTTGTTCTGTTCGTAGGAAAGTCTAAAGGGCACATAGGTGGAAAATCCAAGAGAGGAAATCAAGGAACACACAAAACTGCAAAACAGGTAGGTGTGCATGCTTAGCTTTTCAGTTGGTTTCACTGCTGTACAGGCAGTCCTTGACTTAAAACTTTTTGAGGTACAATGAACGGCACTTACGACCTTTATAAATTGACACCATGTTTGTGGGTTTCGACTTTACGTTGCTGGATACAGCTGGTAAGTGTGGAAGGGGCTTTGGGGGCAGATCAATGCCCCCGCAGTGAAGGAGGGATTGGGGCTGGGACGGGCTGGGGCAAGAGCTGCCCAGCTGGGGCAGGAGGGCTCAGGATGAAGGCGCGGCTCATCTGAGGGGCATGGAGGGGGTGGCTCCTGCCACTGTGTGCCATTGTTCCAGGAGCTGCTCATCTGGGAGGACACCGGGGGGGGGAATGTGCCCCCAGGTCTGCGTGGGGTGGGCAGTGCTGGGGCGCACTGTGCTGCACTTCAGGCAGGCACAGCGGCACTGGGGGTGGGGACTATGCCCTGCTGCTGCTCGCCCCGCCAGGGTGGGGCAGGCGTGGGACAGAACTGCTGTAGTGCCTCTGGATGAGCAGCATGCAGTGACGGGAGCTGCACCCCCCCGGATGAGCCACAGCTCTGTCCCATCCTGACTGGGCGAGCAATGGGAGGCAAGTGGGGGGCATGTGCTCCTGGATCAGGGCAGGGTGGGTGGTGGAGCAGGGGCTATGGTGGGGCTGCAGCCACCCAAAAATTTGCCATAGTCCCCACTGCCCACCCGGAGTGCAGCGTTGTGCAGCCCCGGCCCCACCTGCGCCGCACAGATCCAGGGGCACATGTTATGAAAATACTGAGAATTCAGATATACTTTTTCTGTTGTGATCCTGCAGTCTTGCACTGGAGTGTTGCACAAGCATTGGATTGTAGAAAGGTAGAAGCCAGGTGGATACAAAATGGAAGGGTTTTTCTGACTTTGTCTCTAAAGTAAGAGAGAAATGAATCTAGAAATTGCCTCTGCTGTGTTAAACTTGGACAAATAAAGCTTTTAATAACTGCTTCCTATGATCTTATCAGTACAATCTTCCTCTTGTCAGGATGTTGACAAATTTACTATCAAGAATTTATTGGCACCAGCAGAATAAACATAAGCTTCATACCTCCCAGGGCTGCTTCTTTTAGCAGACAAAGGGATAACTTAGTTTTTCTATGTTAAAAACTGAATCTATATTCATGTCTTTTCATGCTTCAGTTTAAAAAACACAGAGAGGATGTCTACAGTGAAGTCAAAGAAGTGACTGTAAATCGTGCAGGCATAATTGAGCTAAACTAAAAGCTGGCTAACTGGGTACTGGTAACAGTGCGGTTGCATCAACACAGAATTTAGCTGAAGTCTGGCCAGCTTCTTGGGTGTGGTTTGCAGTTGCACTAAGCTGCAGGCTGCCAGGGCTACAATGTATTAGTACCTGAGCTGTCTAGTCACACTTGGACTGCAAACTGGGCATATTCAGTTTTCAAAAAAAGCCTAAGATTTATTGTATGTTTACAAACACCTGTGAATGATTTTGTGCTTTAATAAATTGCACCAGTATTTAATAGGCCTGTGTGAAGCGGCTAGTATTTGCTTTGGATTCAGATTTGGCCGATTTGGGGGACGCTGATTTGATTGGGTGATTCGAATCACTGTCCCAATTCGATTCGGCTGAATCTGATTCGGAGATTCGGCTGCTTCCTAATCAGCCAGGCCAGGCCTATCCCCCGCCCCTCTCCCAGCTTGGCAATGGCTGCCCCAGCTCCTGGCACTTGGGGGGGGGGAAAAAGCTCCAATTCACCGGGTGCTGCTGGGTGGGGGGCGATCCTCGCTGTCCCCTACTTCCCCATGCTGGGGGGGGGCGGGTCTTCATGAGCCGCCCTCCCTCTCGCTCCCCCCAGCCCCCACCACAGGTGCCCCACCTGGGCCAGCTTCAGCCCTTTAAGGAAAAGAAAACAACCAGAAAAAACCCTGGACTCATCGTTCCTGCTGGCAGGGGGGCAACCCTACTGCCCCGTGACACCTGGGGGGCTCTGTGCCAGCCCCTGAAGCCCTGAGGCCACTGCAGGAACAGTGAGTCCCAGTGCTTTTCTCAACTTTTTTTTTCTTTCTTAAAGGGCCGGAGCTGGCCTGGGCAGGGCGCCCATGGTGTGGCTGGGAAAGTGGCAGGCAGGGCAGCATGGGGGGGCTGGGGGAGTGGGCAGGGGTTGGGGGGGGCTAGGGAAGTGGGGGGGTTGAGGAGGCTGGCAGGGGTTCTCCCCCATGGTCTCCACCCCCAGTCCCCCTCCCCTGCCCCTAGTACTTACCAGTTTGGAGTCAGCTGCAGCTCCCTGCTGCAGCCACCGGGGACTGTCCAAATCATCAAAGCTCTCTTAATCTTTTCCAAAGATTTGGAGAGCTTTGAATCGATTCGAACCTTTAGGTTGGTCCCCTGATTCGATTCGGATTCTGAGCCAAATCTAATCTGAATCGAATCACCAACCAAAGCTTCGCACAGCCCTATTATTTAAAGCAAATTAGCTTTTATGTATAATAAGGATTTTTTTTTTTTTTAAAACCCAACCTGACTCCTAATGCATGGTTTTCATACCTCTTAGTTTCTTTAGTGGACCAATATAAATTTAAGGCTTTTGATAAACACCTTTTGCCTTCAGCATTTACTACTAAATATTTAGGACTTGATTTTGCAACTATTTAGGATTTGAGTAAATTTTCTGTGCATTTCTGTATAGGTTCTCATACTATGATGATCACTGTAGTAAATTGGCACATGTTAGCAGTGACTTCATGCTTTTTTCAAGAAGATGCATTCAATTATTTGAAGCCCTAGTGTACAACTAAATGGTTCCAAAGGAGGTAGAGAAAAGATAGTCATTACCTTGCCTAATCCTTCTGCAGACTGGTTTGTTGTAGAGAGTGCAGCATAATGCTCTACTCAGCAGGATAGTGTAGCCTGCAAGTACTAGATGGCTTGCAGTTGTGTCTCCAGAGCCTGAATCCTTCTGTAGGTCCCAGTGGAAAATCACAAGTCTGTACCATTCTTAACCTGAGCATGTTTCTGAAATGCACAATCTGGCTAAAAAGGCAGCAGCTTTGCAATTTTTGTTTAATGGTCTTGAACTTATTTTCAGGAGGTGTTAAGTAAAGAATTAAATAAACTTTAGAATGCTTATGCATACATCTGCAGCTAAGAAATTTCCACTTCTGTTTGTCTTGTCAAATTTACTTTTATTGTTCAAAAGCAATGTTAGTTCTTTGCATGTGACTAGAATAAAAAATTGCTATTTAAGATTTAGTTTTGCAATGTGCTGGTAATTCAATTAAAACAATGCTGATAATATGGCTAGAAACAGGCATTTACTGTTTGTACAGAGCATAGTCATTCATTTACAACTGATAATATCCTCCTTCTAGAAGTATTCTGTCATGACCATTTAAAAATAAGAGTTGAATGTTGTATTTTGCTACTGAATTAAATTGATGCCAGTAGTGCCCTGATACAGCTGGTTAACAACTCATTCAGTCTGACCCTTTTCAAGGACTTAATGGAGGTTAAAATGCCAAGCATCAGATGCAATCTGGGTTCTTTGTTAACAGCTGGCTTCCTTTCCCTTGAGTGGCAGATATCAAATGGTGACAATTTCAGATGTAGGGTATCAGAACTGACTAGGGCCATGGGACTTAAAAAAACCTTTAATTATCTTGTACCTCGGTGTCTACCCTTAGGTATAGTTCTATTCCCAAGAAATTTGTTGCCTATTTTATAGTTTAACTGTATGCTGGAACTTTGATAAATGAATGATATTACTGCAGCCTCATACTATTGTTCTATTGACATAGCATGTTTCATGCTTAGCCTTGAGAAATAGTCAAGTGTCAGTTATTTCATAACGGTAGAATTAGTTGAATACTATTGTCCATTATACTATCATCATAAATCAAATCTTCAGAAATTCAGATTTTATAAGCATGTGAATCAAGTCTTATACCTTAGGTTAATGAAAGTACAGGTATAAGGAAAGAAAACATTCCTTTAGGCAGGGGTTGGCAATTATTTCAGCTGGAGGGCTGCTTAATGAGTTTTGGTGAGCTGTTTAAGGCCGCAAGGGTAGCCCTGCCCCTTGACAGGTGCCCTGTCCCTGGTTGCCATCTTGGGACCAGAAGTCCCACCCCTAACCCCTGACCTTTGCCACTGGAAGTCCCTCCCTTTGCCCTGGAAGTACTCCTTTTGGGAGGGAGAGTGCTGCCATCTTGAAACCAGGGAAAAAAACAAAACCTACTAAAATAATTAAACATCTACTATAATTTATTTTAATTTTATTTAAAATATTTTTGTCCTGATTTATGTGTTTGCATTGTGTATCTAGAGGCAATTGCATAACAGCTCAAAATGCAGTCTTACTGTTGTATATTGTGTGCGTGTGTATATGGGGGGTGTGCGCACGCAGTGTGGATATGGTGTGTGGAGGGGTGTGGATTTGGGATATGTGGTTGGGGTAGGGGCTGTGGCTGTGTGAGCGGTTATGGTGGGGGGGATGGGAGGGTGTGGATGTGGGGGCAGGGGCAGGAGGCGAGGAGTGGTCCTCGGAGTCCCTGGAGTGTGCCAGTCCTTGGATCTGCATGTTGTGGAAGTGAGTGGGGCCAGCTCTGCCCACCCCATAATGTACAGCTGCCCGTACTCCCACCCCAGTCCCTGGCTGTAGGTGGCAGCAGCATGCAGGGCCAGCCTGACCCAGCCCCATAGCGCACAGCTCCCTGCGCTGCCATCTCTTTCCCCCCAGCAGAAGTCCCTGGTCCTGGCCCAATGGGCTGTTACCTGAATTCAGTTGCCGCTCTCGCAGGCAGGGAGGCTGGAAACAGCCACAGGGTTGCCAGCAAAAGTCTCTGCCAGGCCAACACTCCTTGTCTCTGTGCGGGCCGGCTCCCGGTCCCGTCCTCGCCGGGCGCGAGGCGGGCCTGTCCGTG